CACATTGAAAAAAACCAGGAAAGGTTAATAAAGTCCATGCTGGTTGATTGGGATGAACGACAGAAATCGGCGCCAGAGAATAAATGAAGCCGCATGGCAAAAAGCAAGTCATTCACTACGGAAAGCCAGATCATGGTCAATCGGCCCGCTACTCCTCGCTACATACCTAGCCAAGCCGTCTTGGTGATAAGCAATCTCAGCCGCTGGGTATTGATCATACTATCGACCGCGCTTGCTCTATACCGAGGTGATCGAGTTTATTGGGCTTATTACTTGTTATGCTTCAGCAGTATTTTCATGGAGGCGGTTCTCATAACACGTTCTTTACCCTTGATAGGAGTCATCAACTTAAATAGGAATTATTACCTTCAATTTGCTGGATCTGATGCAGTGGAGAGAAGGCGCTTGGGTCAGGCGTTCATGCAATCGCGGCAATTAACAGTCCCGCCATGAACATCCTCTTAGACGCTTTGCTAATGATTTAACCGCCTCTGTGTAGCCCCAGAACCCGTTGGAGAATCTCCATGGATGAGAATAGACGTTCCTCGGTTTAATTTGGGTAAAGGCCGTTCATCTCCGAGTGACGCAGGATTGCCGACCCAAATATCAAATGCAAAACGACGCAATGAACTTTGAACACTGCGCCTGATGAAACCCCCCTCCGCCCTTCATCTTCTTCGACAACTCCATCTACCACTTTTCATTGAATCGTTTTGGCGGTATTGCCATTGAATTCAATGTCTTACTTGCTCACAGCAGCTTGCTCTCTCCTCTCAGCCTTCCATCCATGATGTCTACCTTGCCGCGGGGTTCCAGATCTCGAACCTACCGATTATAAGACCCGATGCCCAGTCCCGTAATTCTCGTTCTTCTTCACAGCTTTTCTCCCAGAAAAGTATCAGACTCCTTGCCTCGAATCTTCTGCAGAGAGCCACCCGTTATTTGGACACTGCACTCACTCCCACAATCCCTTCTTTATACTCCATGTTTGGACAAAAGCCTCGAGCCATCCGCCAACGTCAAAAGCCCCAAAAGACTCCTCCCACGCTGTCTCAGCTAGCCAGAAGCTACCTCGATAGCCCCTCGCCCGACGACAAACATGTCTGGAAACAAGTCAACCGATGGCATGATTGAGGCTCTCAATGAAATAGTAGCCAATGGGCCCAAGCCCTCGGATAAAGTCACGATCGCGGAGGCAGCAGAACTGCTGAAGGAGTTGCAGATCGCGGTTGACGCGAAGGCAAAGTGAGATTGGAGCTATTTATGCCTCGGGCGAAAGGCCGTCTCTTATGCAGAGCCAGATGACGGGCACTCGGCTCGCCGCTCCCTAGCTTGGACTTGAGTCATCTAGGTGACAAGCAATTGCCCGTTATTCAAGTAATGTTATGGCTAGGCAGAAATTGCTCGAAGCAGACCCTTGCAGCGACTCTGTAATTTTCGTTTCAGGGTCCTGTGGCTAGTATCATTAGTTCGTCAGTCGAAAACCTCCCAAAAAGATGAAAAAGAATCATTCTTAAAATTTATTCCCTCTTGAGGACCTCAGACTGCCCTTTAATGTGCCATGCGTGCGTGAGTGAGGCGTTGAAGTGGGGAGTAATAAAGCGTTGTCTCATGCCGATAAAGAGAGTCAAGCCCGGCTTAAGAAGGTCCATATAGACTTGGAAGACCAAAGCGCGGTGGACACAAAACTTGGATACGAGATCGGATGCGACCATTTCATTACGGTCACCTTATCCCCGAATACCCGAGCCGTTTTGAACTAAGGAATACAGATCGCTAGCAAAATACAGATCAGACACGGCAAAGGTAATCTCCTATAGAGGAGGAGACGGGAGATTTGCTTTAAAGGCGTGACTGAGCCACGTCGTTGCAAGTATTGCCATGATTGGGCGAGCGATAAATCGGAAATCTCTGTTGGGAAGAACGTATCAAAGGTCAAGGGGGCGTGGCGCCTAACAAGACCACCAAGGGCGTCAAAGAATATCAATACTGTGGTACTGTTTCTCCGTGAAGAAGAAACATTGATTTGGCGAGAAGGGCTAGATGCATAAATCTCAAACCATACATGAGTAGCATGAGGGCAACTACAGGATGCATAATGTGTTTCCTTTCCGTTCCATTACTGACTAGATGCTATTCCGGCGGACGAGACCTGGTAATGAGGGGCTTTTCGTCGAAATCCTCCGCGTGTGGTGGTCTGATGATGCTGCCGATGGACCGACACTATCGTCTTTGTATCATTGATCTCACCATCAGGCCGTTAGTTACGTCTACTGATGTCGCCTATCAGACGATGCCCGGGGAGTGGAACCATGGTTTTGAGGATTCTAGCTCCGGGATGCCGGGCTGACCGACGAGGGCGTCGTTGTGCCGGGCATACCGTTGTTAATGTGGTAGTGATACCGCGAGATGGGGTCCCAGGCACGTCGGCGCAGACTATATGGCGTCGTGATGTCGGGCACATCAGTCTGTGCCGACTCCTCGATGCCGTGTGTGCCGCAGGAGGTGCGGCATCGTCAGGAGGGCGGTCCTGGGGGTCAACAGACAGTCATCACTCCCATATCTCGTCGTGACGACTTCTGAAAAGTAAGATGCATGGCACTCAAACAGAGAGCTCGGATGTTCATTTTTATAGTAGAGCAAGAAGTGGACTTCGGTTTGCCGTTCAGGCCCTCCAGAGTGGTCTTCTCTGATCGCTATACTTCGTCGCCGATCTGTGACCCCTTGCTACGTAAAGGTAAACGCTGATCTTTTGATATAAGATCAGACTGTTCAAAAACCAAGCCCAGTCGTAAAAGAAGCCGTCTGGCAAGACTTCTAGGGGAGGAGGGGACAAGTTCAGACGTAATTGTTCGCCAAGCTATACTTCCACCCTCCTAGCCCGGCCTACCTCAGTACCTATCCACAAATCTTGGCTAGAACATATTTCTCTTATCCTGGTTGTCCTAGAATTAAAGGAATGGCCTGAGCCTCCGCGGAGAACAACTTCAGACCCATGAGGCGAAAGACCTTGATCGTTAGGGGGATGGTTCAACGCAAAGTCATTACCTGCAGGTCTCAATGGGAAGTTCGCTGCTGTCGAACAGCCGACGGTGAACAGTCGCTCGGTCGCTTGCCTCTGTGGCGGTTTAAGCGCTGCTGTAGTGTAATATTAGACGAATTGATAATGTCGAGTGTGGGCGTTTTGGTCATCACCAGTTTTGTTTGGTTGAAAGCTGGTCCTTTGAATGACGAAGATTCACCGGCATAAACACCAAGCAAACAGCCACACCAAAGATATTTCATGCTGGTCAGGAGCGCGACCTCGGTATCTCTCTTTTTCTTCAGTTTTCCATAAACATTCATTGACCCAATCTGTCGTAGCTACTGCTGTAGTCCAAGTCCTGCGTGCCTATCCACAGCAGTTGGCATCTCTCTTTCTTCTCACGTCTACAATATCTTTCTAGAAGTTAAGGGACTGAACATGTCGACTGTTTAAGCCAATTTCAAGCCCTTCTTAATCGGTCCTTTGCTATGCGTTCGATTCCTCAACAAGAAACAAGATTAAACCAACCTCTACGCATCGACTCACTGATGCAATTCCCATCCTGCTGAGATGCGTCACGTCAGAAGTGAGCTTCGTCAGACGAGCTCACATTACACGTTTCATCAACAACAAGAAGCATAGGCAATATGGCACAAGCTTTTTCAATACCCAAACCCGTATTCGCCGACAGAAAGAAGCATCGCGCCACTCTGATACCCCGTCTCTATATCGAGAACCATCAGCGACTACTTGAGCAACCGGGACACATCCGGAAGCGAATAAAAGCTTGCTTCGGAGTAGATTGAAGATATCAGTAGTAGGGATTAGACAAATTAGTACCGAATAGCAAGATGTTCCTGAGAACCAGGATATCATTGGAAGCCTGGACCATGGAAAGGAATGTATCGCTCAACTGGCAAGGAGCCATGGACAACGGAAGAAGGCTGCGAGGAAATGGGTATTACGGTGCGACATGCGCCTTATCAAACAATGTAGACCGTAAGCGAGATGTGATGCGGACATGGCCAAGGTATCATCCCATGGAAGATGAGACTGGAGCAACTGCAAGGAAGCGTATTTCACTCATTCCATACGAGGATTGTTACAACTGAAGCCGGATACTCATCAGCATACTCATCCACATTCCTTTACCAAAGAGCAAAACGAAAGTTCAAGAATGACAAGATAAAAGATCTTAAATGCTTGATAGATGAGCGTCTCTGCTGCAATGTCAGGCAGTCATTAAAAAATGGGAATATAAAGGAGATGCGGGCTGAGCGAACGGCCTTTCCACCTACTTCCACTTCGGAGGGCTCGATGGGCTTCACCCGTTTCTTCCTCCTTCCACTTTTCGATCTCGCATTTCAATATACATTCATTGAGCTTTGTACCAGCTGGAAGACTGTGATCTGCTGATGCGTATGCCAACAGTTCCCAGTATGGCTTCATTTTGTTTCTCTCTTCCCAAAAACTCCGTCTTTCGGACTGAAGCCACAGGCCCTATGGGATGCTGTGTGGGTAAAGCATATTATTCAGGTGTACAATCATGTTTGCAGTAGTCAAATTACTTTACCATGAATGCACCAGACATCTTGACGGTAGATGTCTTGACGTTCCATTGCCACTTTCCGTTGGGTGAAAGCTAGTTATGTTTGGCCGATGAAGTTCACCGTACGGACTTAGCCGCCTCCCTTCCCTTGCCCTCACAACTTCTCTTTGTCATTTAGGAGATTTCAGCTGTCACTGTTCATTGAATCACCTGGCGCTGCCACTACTGTGTTCCAGGTTCAGCTTACCCAAAGGAGCCGCCCCGTCTAGTCTCAGGCACGTGGCCCATCGACTATAAGAACCCATGAATATACTCATACCATGTGTCATTCAATAGATATCTACAACATACGCTTCAAACCCTCTATCTGAACTCGCCTCTACGCAGCTTCTGGACTCAAGCACGCATACCGCAAGGACCATACACCCAACGACAAGTTTGAATCACGTCTATTCAGTTCAGCGCCGCAGTTTACCATCAAATCCCAGCCTTCTGAAACCTTTACAATCACTCGAGCGACAAAGACATGGCCGAGGGAGCTATAGTCGATGCTCACTATGACAGAATTAAGGAATTGGAAGCCCGGAACGCAAAGTTAGAAGCCGCTCAGAAGGAGAAAAGAGAAAAACTGGCCCAGCTCGTAGCAAAGGCGGAAGCCCATCTCAAGGAGCAAATGAAAAAACGGGCAGAGGCCGAAGCAAAGATGGAAGCCGAAAATAATGAAGAAAAATAACCCGCGTACTCAGTCGCAAGCAGACCATTTATACGCAAAATGGTGTTGGGGTTACTAAGCCCACTGCTTCAACCTGAGCCGTTAGCCAGAAGTGTCGAACACGGTCAGGCTACTCTTTTACGGGCTTCTCATGAATCAGAGGAACGGTCTCTGCTGCTTATGCACATATCAGATCATTTGGGCTTCTACATTCCATCATGATTAGTTAGTACTTCCTCGGATCGGTCTCTACCACAATACAGTCTTCACCTCCACCACAGAACGAAAATCAAGTCCTGTAAATAGTATACTTACTCATAAGAAAACCCCAAAATACAATCATCATTATCAGAAGCATGCTCGCTCTCAATTACTTTGAATCTTGACGTGCCGTTGTACCCCTGAAGCATAGGTGGGCGTGGAAGTGGGGTTGAAGAACATCGTGGACCACCAAAACGAGAAGCCTCAACGTGCGTCAACCAAAAAAACATACAACACCAGGTATTCGCTGGTCGTCACCGACCCAACTACTAATCCGGCCCTCATTGGCTTGTCTATGGGAGAGCGGACGGGATCCCGAATTTTCCAATGGGTATGGTCGTATGTGATGATCTGAAGCACGCAAGTCGATCACGAAGTGCTGGTTTTTCGGAGCAGGTCTGGGAATCAGCGCCGACGGACAGATCCTGACCCTCTGTGCATCGTGAGGGCTCCTATATGGAGAATATGCTTCTTTATTAGGAACTGAATACAAGAGATAACGACCAGGTGAGAGGGTTGGATCAGAACATCGTCCCCATATCTCCTCATGAACGGCTCGACGAATCGCCATCTCGTTGCAGGTCAGCGCGCATCATGCTGCAGAATCACCTGTCACATTTAGCAGTCGCATAATATAGGCTTGGAATGGTAGAGGTACTGAAGCTGCCTACGTATGCTTTGATATCAGGAGCTACTCCGAGTTTTCCTGCCACTGACCCCAGACTGAGCTGCTCTGTGGAACGGGTGAACCACGAGGTCGAGCCAGAAGGTCTGGTACTTCATGAGCCGAATGGTATCGAATCGTCATTTTCTTCCAAGTATTCTTAATGAGCATTTTTCATTGAATCACCGAAGTACTTACCCGTTCAAGCTCACTTACTCTTCGAGCAAGAGCCGCCACCGGCAGACTGGCAGTTGAAATCTCGTCCCTGATGCTCTTGTCAAGCCTTTCTACCCAAATCATCTCAATCTGCTAGACTCTGAGGTACGGAAACTAACTTCATGAGGGACTCCACTGGGCATAACCTCCGTTCGGGAAAAAAAGGGTTCAGTCGAGGAAGCCTCCAGACGTAAGAAACTACTTGTACTACTAGCTCAATGACCCACGTCTGGGGGCCAGCTGCCAAAGATGAAGTATCTCAGCGATGCTATAATAGACATCAAAATCAAGTGTTTTTGCCTAGAATATACTCAGTGGGTGCTGCAAGAAGTCAGCACCAGTCTTAAACTCTCATACCGCTGGGTATCATCAGCATACTCAAATTCATCAGGCGACCCCCCGGTAGGAGGTCGCCGTAGTTGATCGATCTTTCTGTGTCGAGTGAGACTGGATAGCTTATAAAAGAGGTGGGGAGACAAAATGTTCGCGACCCAACATCACACTATTGTATCAATTTGATCATGGTCACATTGAGAGCAAGGAGCGAGAGGCGAGAAGAGTATGCCAGAGAGCATCAGTGTCCACCATTCACCGCCGATCATTAACCACCTCCATTCACTCGTAATTTAACCCAAAGACATGGCAACCAGAAGGTCGGGAGTGACTGAATTCATCTGACTTGGCCCTCTCTCTCCGGAGAACCAACTTTCCTGGCTCCGGCCATATCCCTAGGTCCGTACACAGCAACAGACTGCCAATAACACAGTGCCCGCCTAACCTTAGAAACATCCCAGCCACCCGGAACCCGAAAGAACAACACTATGCCATGCCCGGAGAACAGTTTCTACCGATCCCCGGAACACCGGTCCCTAAACCTCAACCCCCGGCCCGAACCTCCGCGCCCTCAAAAGGTCCGATACCCCAGACCCCGGACCCCGTAGCTCCCCATACCAAGAGAAAATCAATCTACTCTAGACCTCTCAAATCAGGCACATATCATTCCTGCTAACATATGAGTCTTCATAGCATAATAAACCCCCTAAGGAATATGGCATGATGGGATGAGTCTCGGCGCGAGGAATCAGGCGGTTTGGTAACTTTTCTTGGAAGAGGTCCAAGTCGGCAGATACCCGATCAAACGTTCACCTTATGCTGTGGCATCGTCCAAGAAAAGAAGTCCTAGAACCTTTTCTCCATATCCTCCAGTCTCATTCTCCGTCTCTTATGCCCCTAGAGCTTTGATTACACCCACCCCACAAACTAAGTCTCGTCTGGACGGGAGAGTAACATTTGACAGGAACCAAGAACAGAAAATAGAACCCCAAACCCACGCCTCAACGTCGCAACTCCCATCCGCCTTGCAAGCCCAAACTCAGAACAGCAACTAAAGAAAAGTGGATAATTCAAGACCCTCACACGACAAAAGAAGGCTGAGAGTGTATATCCAATCTATACAAAACCATCACCAGCCATTTCCAGATCCATCAAAAGCATGTGGACCGTGGACGCATAGCGTTCGAGTGTTCAAGTCCAGTCTAGATGCCTTGGCGTTCGAAACCCCTACCCCACACAGTGAGGGTCGTGGATAGATTGTCCTGTGGGATGCAAGCACGCAAGATGCTTCACTGCCACAGCCTGGTCCGCGTTCTGACACTCGTTTGGAGAGTTGGTTTCTTCCCTTTCTAGCCTTGTACGTTTCTTCTGGAGGCAAGAGGAGAGCACAGGTAGCGGGCGAACTAGGCTTGGGGACAAGGCCGTGGTTTCAGCCATCCATCAGATATTCCGTCCTCGAGATCCCTCCATCAAAAAAGAACGCGCGCGGGAGTTCGCGGGCGCAGAGGCAGGGGAGAAAGCAGGGGACCATGAACGTGGTATTGATCCCTATCCCATAGAACCAAATACCACCCCCATGTCAAGCTCCACGTCCAAGGCTGAGAGACTCAGACGGCGAGAGAGAGGGACAATGGACACAATGAAAACCACCAAGGCTGACAATAACATGGGTTCCATCCTTTTATAGGACAACCGGTCGCGATGTGCCCCCCGATTTCCAGGGGTCCACAAGTCAAAACAAGCCACCGTCGCCGCCGTCGCTCGTCCTCCCCGAGACAAGGGAACCGTGACGTCTATAGCCATGTGAGAATCCCGAACTCAAACCCCTCATTCTTTACCCCCTCCATGCCTTTCCCGCCCGCATTAGAATTCAGATCCACCTCGCTTGGAGCACATTCACACCATTTACACCGTGTCTACCGCCCTCGGCCACCAATCACACCCGCTAAAGAAAGAGGCTCTTTTTACCACCTCACCGATCACCTTCGACCAATATACCTCCGTCATCTAATCCTCGACTCGCGCAAGTGTATCATCTGAACCACCTCGCCTTCAGCCCCAAACTCCCAGCCCATGGGCACATAGACCCGAAGGCGCGGTGTGCACCAATCACATCACTCGCGCCCCTTTTTCCAGAGGCTTTCCATCCCAAATTTGGCAGGTTTTCATCCAGGAAGGGACGCACAAAGATGAGATGATATAATGCGCGTCATAAGGTATTCATCGTTCGGCACCCTCCAATCCTGCCAGTGGCAGCTAAAAAAGCTCGTCGGCGCCGACGGAGACCGGCCCCATCGGCACGGGGGTGGGGGCTTTTGGCATTCCTGTCAGCCGTGGAGGGCTGTGTGCTGTGTGCATTGGATCGTGTGTGGCCTCGCTGCCGCCCATGCTGGAGGCCCTGTTTGCTTCTCCTCTCTCTCGCTGTTCGTGATATACCGTGTAGATCATGTTTACATTTCAAAGTTTATAATAATACAGTTTTCGTCGGCGTCGTTAACCACATAGTCGCACTGTATCGGAACCCCGCGTTCCGCTTGTGCCGGACCCTGCCGTATCGCGCCATCCATCATGATTCCTTCCCTCCCCTTGGAGGTGTCATTGTTCAGCCCTTCCCGCGGTTGCAGAGCCCCATTCCCAACCCTGTGTACGGAATAAACAACCCTCGCTTGTCTTGTCGTGCCCTGTTTTGCACCATACTCAAGAAAGAACCGTTCAACGCCAGTAGCACGTGCACATGCACATGTCATGTCCCTGGTGTGTCTCAAAACATGTGCCCCAGAACCCAGACGCCGATCGCTATGCAAACCTCTAAATGCAACCCTGTCAATGCCCTCGCCGGCCTGACGGCACCACCACCATTCTTCTTCGTCTCAGACGGCACCGGCGACGGCGCCGCCGCCGTTGAAGGCACGTCGATTGTCGTAATCACCGTCGGCCCAAACGGGTACGGGAGAGTAATCGTCGAAACAACCACGCCAGACGGACCAATTGTAATGGTCTCGCCGCCAAACACCTTTGTCGTCGTTGCCTTTCCTGGCCCAACGGTGAAGCTTGTACCGTCTATAACCACCACCGATGCCCCGACTTGCGTGACTGAAGCACCGCCCACAATCTCGTACGTGGTGTCCGTGGCCTTGGCCCCAGGCCCTCCCACGGTGATGTTGCGCACAGAGACCCCTGAGGGTCCAATCAAAATAGTATCGTCATCTACAATCTTTGTAATGATTGTTGAAACTAGTCCGTAAGTAAATGTGGTCGAACGAATGACAACCACGGATGGGCCAAGGGCAGTAATCATCTCGCCGCCTGCCACGACAATCTCCGTTTGCACCGGGGATGCACGGCTGATCGAAACGGTTCGTTTGGGGACGGCCGCTGCGGATAGCTGGATTGTCGTCTTCTGTCCATCGATCACGGTCGTCAGTGGAGCAGTACGGCCTGATGAAACAGCAGTTCCCCCGGGGACACCGGTCGCTGATGGCACAAGTGTGATGGTCTGCCCTTTCACCACCGTCGTTACCGGAGCTGCACCGCCGCTTGGGGCGTTCTGATCCGGGACAACGACGGCGGATGGCTCAATGGTGATCGTCTGGCCTTCCACCACGGCCGTTATGGGGGTAGCCTGAACCCCAAACGTCGTCCCACCGACGACAACAACGTTTTGCGTTCCTGCGGGCGCAATCACAATGGGCAAGTCGCCCACCATAATACTGGATGGGACCATGGTGCTTCGACCGACGTTGCCGGGCCGATCAACGACCGTTCCACCACCGATGACCTCACTCGGGTTAATAGTGAACTCATCGCCGTTCACCGTCACTTTGGTTGTCTCTGAGGGGTCGTTCTGCGTAAAAGTTTGGTCGTTGATGATGATCTTGGTCGGCGCTACGGTAACCATGTAAGTCGCTTTCGGCGATACCTTGGCACTTTCACGTGGCGAGCCAGGCGAGCCGGGTGGCCTTGGATCGTTGTTCGGCGACTGGACCGAGGCCGTCGGTTTCGGCGTGGGCTTTGCCGTGGGTTTCGCAGATGAGCGCCTTTCTTGCGGGGCCTGTGTCTCAGGATCGTGGCCGTATCGGGGTGTGCTGATAGGCGAGAAGACGACAGAAGGATTCTTGGCCGTGGTGACGAAAGTGAACGTCGTTTCTGGACCAAGTGTTGAACTGAAGGTTGGAAATTCAGGCGCCTCGGTCCTGCAAATGTCCACACCGTCCTCCGAGGAACATGCTACACTCGCAGACACTTTTGTCTTCCCTTGTTGCCTTCCAAGCCCGCAGGAGGACTGCATGTGACTGGGACCGTGATGTCAGGTTCCGGTGGAGTGTAATCCGTCGGATCTCCATAGATTGTCGTCGTTGTCGTGTATACGATTGACCAAGTTGTCGGTACGGCACCCTGTGTGGTTGTTATGCAGACAACGGATGGCTCGTAACCACCCTTGAGTGTCAAAGTCACATAATCACCACCGCCATCGCTGTAGTTTCCATTCGTGTAGTTTCCGCTGGGTGACGCGGATATTGAAACGTTACTGATAGGAAAGAAAGATCTGATACCCGTGGGAGTTGCCAATAAGGACGACGTGAACACAGTACGAGTTTGGTTACCCGAGGCCGCAATGTTGAAACCTGCTGTCGTCGAAGCTCGGGTAGAAGCAATGGAAGGAGAGATGGCTCCATAGGACGAAGATGGTCTGCCGGATTGCGAGGTCGTCGCATCTGTCGTGGTGACAAGGGCCGTGGTTTGCGTTGTCCCATTGGCTAGTGTCAGTGTGCTTCCTGCGGCCGAGATCTGCGAACTGGTTTCGTCTGATGTTGTCAAAAATGAGCCGCCTATCCCTGACTCTGCTGGTACTGAGGACCCTTTTGAACTTTGAGACCCTGATAATTGGTTGGTTGAAGCGGACGAAAAAGTTTCGGTCCCGACTGTGCTAGTTGACGGGTTTCCTGCCTGGATGAATGAGCTGGTAGTTGACGACGTAATTTGCAGTGCTGAGCTTGTTGCGGCCGATGATATCGTGCTGTTAAAGCCGACGGCCTGTCTCCTACTGTGAGGAATATGATTTGCTGCCACGCAGTCAGTCTTCCGGTCTTTGAAATAAAATTGAGAATAGCCAGCAAACCGAATTGAAGAGCTTGGACTGGGTTCGAGAATGCCGCCAGGGAAAGCAACGCCAGCTTGAGGAGTTTCATATCGAGGTGTTGCGTCAAGTCGCAGCCTGTCCTTCTCCCACGCATCCTTGCCCCCCTTGATGTTCAACCCTATTCGTAACTGCGAAACACGGACTGACGCGGCGACAACGACCAAATACTCGTGGCTCTGGAGTGGTCACGTATAGCCCACACACTCATTGCGAGGTCTGAGACTAAGCGGGATTCTCGGGCGATGAAGTTGTGAGGAAACGGCCATGGACGCCGGGCGCCGGGCGGCGATTAGGGCGTAGAAGGGGTTCATATTCTCTGCTGTCTTCGGACCGTAAGGTGGGTGCGCCGACGCGTAACCTGGCAACTTCGGGGGGAAGAACAGGGGAGCCAGCCATTTAGTTCATTCACCATTGCACCTTAACTTCCCGGCTTTGTGTGTGCCACTGATGTAGTGTAGCAGTGACAGGAGCCATCTCATTTGAAATGGCCCGCCATCAATCAAAACCGACGCGGCTGGGCCTCTAGCGTCGCAGTGACCACCAAGAGTTACCTTTCAAGGACAAGGGGCCGACGCGACAGAGTGGCACCGGAGCTTTAGCTGGTACCGGCGGCGGCACTGCCAGCCCCAAGCTCTTCCTTGAGTTGCACGAAGCAGGAGAGCATCTTCGCAGACTCGGTCTTCAACTCTGAGCTCTGTCTAGGTAGCAAGACTTTGGCGTCAGTGCCCCTCGAAGAAGAAGACGGTGTGCGACTGCAAGGGAGAAAAAGTTTCTCAGAAAGACCACTAGGTACCTATTGCTGGTTGATGACGGCTGAAAAGCATCGTCTTGGTTCGCATCCATTCGTTGATGTTCGAGTCAAGAAACGTGCTGTAGTGTCTCTCCTTCTAGTATTTAGTGTCTACCGAAGGCAGTGCTGGCCATGAGCTAGAAATGTCTAAGACAATCCGGCCTCCATCGAAGGGAGGGGCCAGCCACGCAGATTTGCTTGGTGGCAACTTAGGTCTGCGATTGACGGATCAATTGTGGTTTTGTGACAACAGTGACGAGCAATCCATTTTCAAGAGAGCTCCCTCGTGACTGACAATAAAAAGGACCGAAGACCTGTTGGCCACAATAGTGGCTAACAGTATTCGGCTGCGAGGGTGAGAGATGATCGACATTATGTCAAAGGCACCAGGGATGATCGCCCAGGCACACTGAGAAACACTCGTTACCCATGCGTTTGCAGCTAGTGCTCGAAAGGCTAAGCCTATATCATTTTGTATCCGTAAAGTGGTTGGTTGGTAGTCTCAACTAGCTTCGTACGTCGTCCTCACTCCGAGAGACACCTTGGATAGTTGTCGACGATGACTGTGGGTTGAGACAATTTGTCGTGGCCCGCTGGCGCCGAAGTCTGTCTTATTGTGCACGGGTGCAACTACCGTGCGTCCGGGAGATGTGCGTCTAAATGTGCGGAGTGCAAAATTGTCTAGGACATGCAGAATTGTCTAGGACATGCAGACCTCTTGAACTGTTTGTGCGTCCTTAAAGTGACAAGACTTCAGAGATGCCCGGCTTGATTATCAGCCGGATGAGATTGACTGCCAAAAATGCTGGCAAATGTTGCAGTACTGGTGCCGCAGGTTGGCTCAATGTCCCGTCGGATGAATCAGCAGCTGGCATGCATAATGCACAAGATAGGGCTGATCGAATGGCATGCAAGTACTGTAATCTTGATCCTGCTCGTGGTATGGAAACTCGGCATCAAAGTACGGATAGTTGAATATCTTCTAAAATGCCGATTCGGACTTTGAGCATTGTTTTCGAGGACTCAATATACCAGACTTCGTCATTCGGTGCAAGAACGACTGTAAACAGGGTAACCCAGGTCTATCAAGCTAGGCCTAGCGCATTTTCTCCGCTCGGCATTGGGAGAGAGATTGGATGATAGTGTCCAATTCTGCCTTTCCAAAATGATGAACAAATCGTCCGTAATCGGCCTCCATGTTTAGCGCACCGTTGCGCGTGGGGGCAATGAATGAGCGGGCGCCGGGGCATGAAATGCTTCTCGTCATTTCCGACCTGCGTTTGACAGCTGCGGTGAAGACCGACATCAGACCATGGCGCCGTAGCGGCCTGATACGTTGTACTAGATGACGCGTTTTGACTTCTTTTCAGTGTATCGCGTCGCGCTTTGGAGCGACACTCAGCCAATGCAACGAGCCAAGGCACCTTGATGCAGTTGAAAAATGCCCAGCCATGGCACTGTGACAGGACACCCTAGTAGCAGGAGTGATCAGTTTGACGTTGCCGATGACAGCTTGTATGGCACAGACTGCGAGTCAGGTGTGTCGAAATCGGCCCTCTGCAGTTCGCTCTACGGAACGACTTCTGTACGTTCGTGAGTGACATGAAGACAGAAATTTGATACTGAAAATGTAAGCCTAGCCTCACTGTCGAATCCTTGCAGGTGCAGATGCAATTGTGTCGTTGATGCCGCCGGAGGTTCATGTCCAAAGGGACGGCAAGCGAGGATGTGCCGGAAGACGCAGGCCCCGCGCCGACGGAGGGCGGAACAACAGGCTTGAGAATGACACGCAGCTTGAGTTCCAACTTCTCTTCCGCGGCAACCTCTCTCCGCTTGCATTTGGCTAGCGCGCTCTATGTGGCCAGGTTGTGCATGTGGTCCTGTAGGTTCTGTGCCTGGCTAGGCTGATGGGGTGTATCATGTTGATGAAATTCGAACATTGGAAAGTGAAAACCTTGTTTTGTTGATCTCTCTTTCGCACGGCTCTTGGCTGTCAGCTATAGCCTTCATTATAACCCAAATTGGCGGCGAGTGAGAAGTGAGGTGAGGTCCGAAGAAGCCGATAGATTCTCTAGGTTTGAAGTTATCGACAGGAGGTGGAGCTTGACAATGACAGATTCCACGCGCGGGCGTTTTTCCACATCCCGGCACTGGGCTTTCATCCGGTGGGGAGGCGCCGAACACTCAACGCACTGTCGTTGTCCTCGTTGCCGATGCTGGCAGTCTGGAGGAGGCGGGCCGGTCGGCAGTGGCGGTAGGTGTGGCTGCAATGCAGTCATCTAAGCGTCTGAGCGGAAGCTGTCAATCATACGAACATCTCTGGGATGACCGCCTGCCCAACCTCTAGTCACAGAGGTAAAGCGTAAGAGACGAGGCGACGAGGATGACGATGGAATGAAGCGAAGCACGAAGTCGAAATCGCGATCCAATGTCAGAGAAAGCAGGTGAACCCAGAATAGAGGTGTCCCTGGAGAGCAGCATATAAGCGGCGTGATAAGACATAGGGTCCTCGCTCAGCTGTGGCGCGGATGTTTGGCAATGAATGATGCGAGCCTGCGAGGACAATTGAATTGAAGAAGCGCATTGAGGATCCATCAGTTGGCCCACGTCACATTGGGGTCGAGGCCAACCCGTCTCTGCGGGACCGTGATGTGCATTTATTGCTACGCCGTGTGGCCGCAACTGTGGTTGGTGGTCCGGTTCTTGGTGTGCGTGTCGCAGGCCGGATCTCTTGGGACTCGGGAAGAGGGGGAAAATAGTGAAGATGCAGTTGCACTCGGCTACTCGTCTCCACATCAGCTGTGATTCGCGAGATGTTGATGGCGGCTTGTCCGTTGATTCACCAGTGCCGTTGAGAAGATAGCGTCTTGTTAGTCGTTGTTGATGACGATGGTTGAGTATCTGTAGGTATTGGATATGCAGGAAGAAGGGGGAAGAGAGAGGAAGAGACGGAGACTCCGGCCAAGTGTGGTTGACTGGCACACTGCCCATGGGTGGGCAATCAATGCGGCAGTGACCAAGGTACGTAGCGACAACCTGCACCTGCCGTGTGTGTGTGCGAGTATTGGGAGTGCACGGTTCAACCGATGGCTTGGGTCACCAGCTTCCTTCCTTCTTGAGGTAGAAGAGGCGCCGTTTGGGGTTTGGGAAAGAGCAAAAGTTGGAAGTCGCGGGAAGCCCATGGGTCGCTGTCGCCATCTCCCCGGTTCTTCCCCATTATTATGTAAGACAGTTGAGCGTTCTTTCCCAAGCATCCCAAGTCATGTATCTGCACCTACTTTAATACACCAAGGATACCTTTGTACCTTACGGACATACTAAGGTGCCTCCTCGCACCCGTCGCCCACTCGCAGGCCAACGGGGATAAGATCCGGCGGGAAAATCCAGGGACTTCCTCGCCTCGGACCTTCAGCTCCATGCCCCCAGGTAGATTGCCTCGCCTTCACGTCCTTGGCAATATGATCATCGCCACACAACCGGACGAGGCACATTGACAGACACTACTATCCGTACGAATACCGACCTACATCGGTAGCATCTCATTGTCCGTATGAAGACACTTCCTCAAACTTTGTCATGAACCTATCGCCCTATGTTTCAAGGCTGAACAGGCGACTTGATATATGTGACTGGTCATAAACCAAAGACTGTCATCGCCACCCTTCAACGTCTATCGAGATTGCTGCCCCTCGAATCATCCGTTGCAGTGGCCTGTCTACAAACATGCCTGGCTAGCAAGTCGCTCGGCTGTCCCGACTGCCGCTACTCTGTCGCATCTCGAGGGGGGAACACTACGGATAGAGACAAAGGAGGTCCAGACAGTCGAAAAGTCGACTGTGGCCAAACTAGCGGGTTTCCTGGCCCTTTTTTTTTTTTTTTTTTTTTTACCTCACATGGAATCCTTTACCGATGTCATACACGCCAGAGTAGCCTTTGGAGACGGCCACGCATGTACGAAATACGATACATGCTCCTGCACCACCGGTTGAGCGTCCCGCTACAGGTATGGCCAAAACTCTAAGAGAGTCCATCATGGAATCGGTGGGCTAGACGCATGCCTGTGCTACCAAGAGACACGCCAGACCATTGCCAGCAGACGGAAGGCGTCCACACTGAGTCTGGCTCTTCCGGACTGAAGTGCGAGTCGTCCAAAGTCTCGACTCTCTCCTCAAATCAACGGATGAGGTTCCACTGCCCTCGCCTACCGCGTCTAATCCCAATCCTCCCTGCTCACCGGGTAAGGAAATGGAGCCTCTCTCCGTCGTCTCCAGAACCAGTCAACTTACGGATGCTCCCCTCCTCCCATGTCACTGGCTCATTACGCTACCGTGTCGAAAGACCCCTCCCGCCGCCCGCGACGGTTACTTCATCAGGCCCCGTCGGCCATTCCCTCGGACCTCTGCTGATTCTTGTCGGCGCGGGAGGTCTCGATCCATCTGCGGGGCGGACACATGGTCGTCGATGAGGCGCGACGGCGGCAGCGCCATGCTGAGAAGGGAGGGCTTGTCATGGCTCTGCCGCACTTTGCACTTTTCCTGAAGCAGGCAAAAGCACTGTGTGTCGATAAGAAGACAGGGATGCCTGCTTTGTACCCCGGTCCCCAGCTTTCCCAAGAACGACGGGACCACCAGACCGGTGCTGGACGGGGGCCTGGTCCTTGTCTCACCCCTCGTCGTGCCATTTGGCCTTCCGGCCTTCCCTTGCTTGTTGCGGCACAGCCCTTGGCCGTAGTTGGCAGAGCGCGGGCTTGTCCTTGCTTAGATGACCATGGACGCTATCTTGCTTTGGCTGCCACCCACTCAATCCGATGGATGGCAGAAGTTAGTTTTTCCTGTTGATCATCCCGCAGAGTTCAATTGCCCGTGTCCCCCTCTTCCCCTCCCAATTTCTCTGCTCTTCACGGCTGATCACTCGTTCGACACGAATTCCCTGAGCTTCGGATACCGTGAGGCATTGGGACGGGCACACGGCATACGAAGATACGAAAAGCGATTCGTAGACACGGCTCGACGACAGTTTTGGTTAATGGTGAAGCCCCTTCGCACGGCCAGCCTTCCCTCGGGACGCTCATGCACACCGCAAAGACGCCTTGGTGACTCGGCGCACCTCGAATGAACCACCCATTGGGTTCCGCCTCAAGATCGACGACATGTTTCCAACAATCTTCGTCGCAACGGTGCTCGCTGGCATCGTTTGCGCACAGAGTCAATCCGCAGTGGCTCTCACCCCTTCAAACGACTGGTACGCTGAGAGATACCCCAAAACTGGCCCGCAACCTCACCTAACTGAACCAAGGTACGGCGTCGACGGCAACTGGTCAACGGTAAAGTTCCAGGTCGGCACGCCAGGACAGTCTGTCAATGTTCTTGCGAGCACGTCTTTGTCTGAATTCTGGGCCATTGGGGCCGGTGGCTGTCTTGCAAGTAAGTCCTCCAGCTGCTATTCTTCAGCTTATAGATGCCAGCCCTGGCTCTGGCCTAGACTTGTCAGAACTAATATCTCATCAAGAGGAGCCCCTGTGCAACACCGCCAGAGGCAACGTATTCACCATTGCCGACTCGAAATCCTGGAATCCGTTGGGCGCATGGCAACTTGGTCTTGATTATCTCGGCTATGGTGGAAACGGCGATTATGGACTGGACAAGCTTTCAAGCACGCTTTTGACTGGAGATGGAATGAGCATGGACAACATCGTTACTGCGTCAATCAACAGCACCGACTACTATCTTGGATATCTCGGACTCGGCATCACCAAGGGAAGTTTTGGCAATCAGGTTGCCGAATCACCGTTAACGCAAGCGGTTAAGAATTACGGATGGATTCCTAGTTACAGTTACGGCTATACTGCTGGCGCCTACTACAGTAAGTGCATGCCACCTAACCCCTCCTCCGGTAATAATCTGACTCTTGCAGTGGGTATGTCTGGCACGCCGTGCTCTGTTACTTTGGGAGGTTACGATGCAAGCCGTTTTGTCCCGCATAACAACGAGTTCTCTCTGGATCCGAGCGATGGCCTGCCTCACGCCCTGGTCCGTGGCGTCGAAGTTACTGTGCCTCAAAGCAAGGAAATGCCGAGCGGTTGGGAAGCCAAGACGAGAATCTTGTCCAACATGTCCACGTCTTTCAGTGCCATGATTGACAGCTCAACCCCTTTCCTTTGGCTCCCTGATGCTATTTGCGATGAATTCGCCAGTGCATTCAATCTGACCTACAACAACACCTTCAATCTATATACTTTCACCGACGAACAGTACGCTGACTTCAAGGCCGGCGCATCTTCCTACTCGTTTACTTTCTCCTTCTCTAGCCACGACAACAGCGACGACTTTGGTCACCCTCTCACCGTACCAGGCGTGGTCAACATCACAATCACAGCTGCAGCCTTTGCGCAAGTGTTGCGATATCCATTCCAGAGCGAGACTATCAAGTATGGCGAACCTTCCGTGCCTTACTTTCCTCTTCGAAGAGCGTCCAACTTGACCAACACGTTCATCATTGGAAGATCATTTCTTCAAGAAGCTTACTTGATCACCAAGTACGATACAGGCGTGTTCTCTCTTCATCAGGCCCTATTCCCGGACGCGCCTTTGCAATCATATCAATTGAAGAGTATCGTGCAGCCAAGCAATAGCCCTTTCCCGCCACCGGCCCAGGTGAACACTCATACAGGTCTATCAACAGCGCAAATGGGTGGCATTGCGGCAGGCGTCATTGCCGCTTGCCTGATCATGCTCGCTTGTTTCTTTTTCTATCGCCGTCGCCAAAGAAAGACGCAGGAGATGACAAGGTCCTTGGAAGATGGGAAAGATGCCGCGTCATCAATCATGCCAGAGTCTCCAAGAAGCCCCATGGCCAAGTTCTTTACCAAGGTGCGGGGCAAAAAGAAGACTCAGCGCGTTTCGACACACGAAGTGATGGGCAGCACGGCTCAACCTGTGGAGGTCGCGGCTGATGCGAACCACGCAGTGTACGAGTTGCCTGCACCGATAGGCCCGGTTGAGCTGGACGGAGACGACGACAAGTCGGTTCATGAGCACACCGAATTCGGCACGGAAGACACACAAGATGTGAGCGCCTACGAGCTGGCGAGAAGAAAGGTCGAGTTTCAGCTGCAAGGCCCCGTTCCGGCGTACTCACCTCCGGAGAACCCGGCCGACTTCCCGCCTGCGGAGAAGCCGATGCAGCACATGAGCCCTGTCGCACCATTCAGACCTGAAGAGTTTGGATTATTGGCCGCTTCGTCCCCGGCATCTGCCTCTTCGCCATCGTCTCCGACGGTGTGCGAGAACTCGTCATCGACCCATGGATCCTTGCCGTCACCCATGAGCCCCCGCGCAGGAGAATGGACGAACCGCCTGTCCGATCTCCCATCGCCCCTGACAGAAGGACCGTCGTACCCATCGCCAACCTTCACAGTCAGCAACCCCGGCAACACACTGCCTCAACCTGTGTCCCCCGAGAGTGAAGCGTTTACGGCAAATCGCTCCACCTTCTCGCCCATGCCGCCAAACGTACCTCTGCCCGCTCTTCCGTCACCGCCTCCTTCGACTCATCAAAGAGCACCAATCGACCCTTCCAACATCGTCTGCTTAGGTCCTTTGCCAGAGAACGTGTCTCTTCCAGAGCCCGAGGTGATCCCTCCTCCGCTAGCATACTCTCAAGGGACAAGCCTTGCTGTCCCCGAGGACCTCACCGCTCATCGCCTATCCACCGATACCTTGGGAAGCAACTGGACCGAGTTCGAGGAGGAGTTGATGGCTCAAGACAATTTGACGAGACAAGTGAGCCTACCAGATGATGAGAGGAGTCAGCAAGCGGAGTCAAACTCCTTACGAAGCCTACAACGTCTTGACGGCTCCGAATTCATCCATATTCCTCAGATGGCAGAGCGACGCTACAGCTGGGAGAATTAACGACATCAAAAGCCTGCCATTCTTTCAAAACAACTTGATCTTTACGAATAACCAGTTATAATGTACGACCGCACAGAACGCGGCCGGCACTATTTCTACTTCTTTCTTTCTTTTCTTTTTCTCAATAGTCTGATTTGCTCACATGTGAATCAATCAAAATAAAGCGAAGGAGTTTGGGATAGGATGCCTCCCCAGAAAGGGGGGGTACAAGGGTATCAGCATACAGACATGCCGGCGTTTTAGGTGCCCATAAAATGGGCTCGGAAAGTATTTACCTGTGGGAAGCTCCATCTTCCATTT